TTTTTTTTTTTTTTTTACCTCCCTGCCATCACCTCTGTTCTCACTTCTCTCTCTCGCTCCCTCCCTCCCTACTCTTTTCCTCTCACTAACCCCCTCCATCTCTCCCACCCCTCCCTCTCATGGTGTGGCGGTTCCTGTTGCTCTTGTTTTCACTTCCCTATTAGTCTGGTGCGTGGGAACCAGCATTTCTGCTGCAGTAGTGTCTACAGCTGAGTGTGAGGCTGAATGTTTGTGGTTCTTGGACTGAGTATGTGTGTGTGTAAAGGTGCTGAGGTGACTGTGTCTGTGTGTATGATGGTGTCAGTATGTTTGTCAGTATGTGTGTGTGTGTGTGTGTGTGTTTATCTCAGAGGCAATCTGTGCTATCTCAACATGTCTATAAAAGGCCAGTACAGGACATCTGATGGAAATGTACAACCCAACGGAAGTGTGTGTGTGCGTGTGCATGGAAAGCATAGATGCAGCAGTCGGTGGTGGGGATAGGATAAGGCTGAATAAGGAAACCATGATAGACAGATCCCCAACTCCACCCTCTTGTCCCCTCATCCTTCACTTCATATTTGCGGTTAGAAATAAACATTTCTTGTTCTGTGGATAAACTATAAACAAACATGTGTTTTTTCAATGTATCGGTATTCTTAGTAAAAACAGAAGGTTTATTCACAAATTAGTATTAAATCATGTTCACATCTTGTATATGTAATTTGTGCCAGATGGGATCAACAAAGCTACATTCTACTCAGATGAACAATCACAAACTGAAGCTCAAAATACAGTCACGTAACAACAATGATAGTTTTTAGCAAGTCAAGACTTTAGGGCTGCAGTTAGACTGATTTTCAGCAAAAAATGATAATGTGGCCAGAGAACTAGGAGCAGGTGCATTCAGAAAATTAATATGGATGAAAACAAAACTGTATTTTACTTTTTTGTCAACTATTCTCCCTGCAACACTCCATTTGTCATTAAAAGTTTCTCTATGAATTATCCAGTTCATCCTTTGCTTGACTGCTTCTGCCATGTTTATGTTATTTAATACTTAAAGAGTGCACCAATAACACGGATCACAGCACTTACATCCTGGACAACTTTTCAATGTCTGTGCGTTGATGGACGGGCCAGACTTTCTCGAATTCGCAATTATGACAAGCAATTTGCAGATAAAACTGTTAAACTGATAAACACCAAACTCGAGATTTTAAATAAAATATAAAAAAGCTCATGCTGTTTTTTCCTTTTTTTCACCACGTATGCATTGTACAAATATCCAGACAATGACAAATACACATGAAGCCCTCCTACATCTCCCCTTTACTCTTGGGGTCTCCATGGTGGACACACATTCCTTTGCATCTAAAATCTCTATGTGGCCCATTGATACACAGACACAAAAATTAACCCTTTGCCTGCACCATCTTTACACAAGTTTGTGGTTAATCTCCCTCTTCATCTCCTCTTCTCTGCCTTCATGACATTCATCCATGGTGTGAGTGCATGAGGGAGAAGCCCACAGAGACAAAGGGAGAGAAACAAACCCATCCATTGCTAATCACAGAGCTCTACAGTCAGATAACAAAGGGGTTAACATTTGCCTGGGTGGGCTGTGGAGCAGCCCCCAGGGTGAGACACACACTCTCTCACTCTGTCACTCACACCTATACACACAGATCATGACCACCTTAATTTGGTATGAACTCTAATCAGACAATTTCCATGCAAAATTTTACTTTTCTAACAGTAATCAACATTCAATTGAATATTGGATTGTATAGCCTGCATCCTCAAGGCAAAGTGTTTGAGTATCATTCATTTGGGTCTTGAATTATAGAAAAGACACTTTTAGATAATATTGTAAATATTATGTTCACATTAAGAAGATTAGGTAGGGTCTTCTGATAGTGGTCATTTTCATTTTTAAAGCAGATATTAAGCCCTGGTCAAGGCTGTAAAAACAATCATATACATCACAGGAGAATGGTTTTGCTCAACTCTACTGAAAGATCCCAGGTGGAGCTGCTACTAGAATGATTTTATAGTCACATTTGGTCTTCCTTTGGTCATAATATATCAAAGCGACTTCCTCTAGAAGTGAAGGGAGGCCAATAAATAGGGAAGGTAGATGGGTGCCCATTTGGCTATTGGCCATTAAGTGTGTCTGTGCCATCATCATGTTGTCAGGTCAGGAGGTCTCATCAAGGTGGTCCAGGTTTTAAACATTTTGTGTCTAATGCAAATTCACCCAGTGGCATATCTTGACACATTTAGGGCCCCCTACTAGGAGCATACCAGAACACCCAAGTTAAGAAAATGACCTCCCAATCACCACCACTGCTACCACACACAAACATAGCTGTCAGAGAACACACAGGTTTCCCTAAACAGCCACCCAGGGAGGTAGATCTACTGGTCAGGTACAGTAAATCAAACCTTTGATAGTACCTGAATTACAGTAATTCTGGTCCCTTTATATAAATCCATTCACATGAATGTTTCTGAAGAAAGAACATGATATCAGAAGGATTTTGAGGAAACGTATCATTTCCAGGTTTAACTCTCTTGCATAGTTAAACTTATCATCTTCTATTCAAATAGTTCAACACTGAACACAGGTCCTGTCTGTGGAGGCACAAAGCTAAGCAATGTTACCCAGACATCCTCCTTTCCAGGAACATCCTCCAGCTCCTCCTGGGGGTCCTGAGGGACTCCCAGGCCAGATGGGATATGCATTTCCTCCAGTGTCTCCTTGGTCTGCCCTGGGGTCTCCTGCCAGTTGGAAATGTCCAGAATACCTCCACAGGGAAGGGACCAGGAGGTCTAATAATTACACTACCAAAGTGCCTCAGCTGGCAGCATTCAGCATGAAGGTGTAGCAGCTCTTTCTGAATGTCCGAGTCCCTCATCCCGTCAGTAAAAGAGTGCCCATTTTAGCTTTAGCGGCATTAATCTGCAATTTCTTTCACATCCACGTCACTGCCATACCAAACTGCCTGCTTATCTCTCACTCCATCTTAACCTCAGCTAAATACAACCCCAAGACCCAGTCCCACAGAGGTGCAAAACTATCTGCCCCAAGGCAACACTAGAAAAACAAGCCAGAGGCTTTATGCATGAGTTTGATTCTGGTGAATATAGAGATTAACTAATGAATATCAACTGTGTGGAGGAATGACTCCACTCAGTCAAAAGAGCCAGTGTTTGTTCACTTCAAACAAACAAGTACAATGGGGGGGGCTGTTAAAAAGCCTGTTTCTCCATTTCCCCTTATCGTTTATTCATTTCTTCCCCTTTCATTCAGGATTCAAGACAAAACACCACAGCCACCACACACTTTCTTATATAAAGTAAGGAACTTGTCCAGTTCAGCAGTGTTTCATAATCACAGAAATATTAGTTGGGTGTAGGAACAGAAGCAGTTTCCTCTTTCTCACTGTTGTGTGTATAAGCATCAGCTAAATATATGTGGTATGATATATGGAATGATTGTGTAATCCTGTGTACAGACTTCGCCCTCAGTGTTTACCTCTTTGGAGCCAGCTGTATATCATCATCTTCCTTTTTTCCTATTTTATCTGCCTGTTCGGTTTTAGGCTGCGTTCAGACTGAACAGAGTTGCAAGACATTCTAACTAATCATCCACTCTGTGCTGGGCCATCATGTTTATGCAAACACAAATTCCAGATGGTATTTCTACCATTTACATCGCACAAGTAAGAAAGAAAATTTCAGCTGTGATAACTACGAAGAAATGTACAGTTCTGTCTTTCAGTGGAGCTGTGAATTGTTTTTGCATCTGATGTGTCTACAAATTCTGCTGCTCAAACTGGACATCCTAGTATTTAGGATGCACCCAACAACACCCAACAAAGTTTAAACATTCATTTACGAAATCTATTCAGAGCCAGCCCGAAGTTTCCTACCTGGCAGCGGCTGAATATATCGCTGGGAGTTGGCTGGACGTTGAAGTGTCTGAGGACTCGGACAGCCTGGTCTCTGGCCTTCTCTGTGCATTCTAGGGACAGACAGCGACCCTCACCCACCTGGGAACGTAACTATAAATATGGAAAGCCAGAGGCAACATTTTAACAAAATAACAAAAGCTGATGCAACCACACATGCAAAATGCATCAGAAGATTGTAAACTTGAAATTGGTTTCTGCCGTCACATTAATTATTACTTACACTTTGGAACGGTTGTCCACATGTGAGTATGACACGGCCTTCAGCTTGTGCTAACTGACACACAACAGATACACATCAAAACAAATGAATACGTGTCTTTTTGTTTGACTTTATCTTCTTTCTGATTGTGTTTAATTGTATGTTCTCAGTCCAGACTAATAATTCACCCTTGCTGCTTCTCTGTGATCATCAGTGTTCTCCAACATGATCACATCGACTCCTAGACAGCGCAGGTACCTCCCAAGTCCCTGTAGCATGTTGTCACACACCACCCGCAACTGCTGGGGCAGCAGAGGAGGGGGGTATTCTGAGGGCTTCTCGCCACACAGGAGGCCTTTCTCCATGTCAGAGCGAGGGGGACTGACCCTTTGAGCCCCCTGACATTCCTAAATGGACAGAGACAAAAATGTGATACTTAACTGATCCCCACAGGGGGATTTTCTTTTCACTCGCATCACAGTGCAAGGAGGACAAAGCACAGGGTGAGCTATAAAAGTGCACCCCTGGAGCTGATAGGGGCTGCTGAAGAGTCTCAGTCAAACCCACATTGTCCCTCCCTGCAGGTCGGATCATTCGGAAGATACAAGGTTATTGCATATCTAAGAGATGTTAAATATATTAGCATAAAAAGGACTGGTTCAAATTCATGACTGCACCCTGTGAAAAGGACTAGAATTTGAAAATTTTGTTTGCATTGTGTACCTTTCATTCAAAATAGTTTCTAAACGTTTTTTCACAGATTCCCTGTTGATTTAAAATTAACTTTTGACAGGAACATGTTTGAACAGACAGATGTGCAAAAACCACACTTATTTAGAATCAAACACAAATGGCCGTGGTCCGGTCAAGAACAGGATTAGTCACAATTGCATCTGGCTTCTACATATTCGTTTCTCATGATGAAAGATTTCCTAATATCAACATTCTTTAGATAAACATCTGTCTGTCTGATAGCTATCTAGAAAAAGTAGTCGTCTACTGGGTTTTAACTTTATAGGAACCTTGTGTTTGTCTTTAATTTATCTTCACTCTGTCACTCTATCACTTCAAAGCATTTGGTGTTAATAGCAACCACATAAAAATAAATGAACTCTGTCAATGGCATAAATTGCTATGAAGAAATAGCAAATGACCCCTGACCTCTTCAAGGGTCTGTTTCTTCTGCTTGGCCAGTTTCTTCTTCTGCGTCTTGTCTCCGCTCTTCTCTGACTGGCTTGAAGAAATGCTGCGCAGGTCAGCCGGCAGCCCGAAGCGTGCTGGGTTCCTGGAGAGGACTGAGTACACATCCAGCAAACAGTAGGCATCTGCCACTAGAGGGAAAGTAAGAAATGAGAGAGAGTATAAGAGCGAAGGAGGGGGTGACTTTATTGGTTTGTGGTTCATCAGGGGGCAAACAAAATAATCTGTGATATTGTGAAGAGAACAGTGACCATCTGTGTCCCTGTCATTGTGTGTCCGTGCATGTGTAATAACTTACCTGCATATCTAATTTGGCTGATGCGCAGTGGACGTTTCTCCCAGTTGGACATCTGCTCTGTCTTGTCCAGGGGCTTTCCCAGGATCTGTTGTACCAGCAGACTGAGGCCTTTCTCTACAGAGCGTGCTCCAACCAGCACCTCTTTAGGGCCATTCTGAGTCCTCTTGACCTTACTACTCTGGATCTACATATGGAATGATAAACTTTTTGTTAAATGGCATGGACCGATCTTTGAAGTGTCTTCATTAAAACCTGTTTCCATGGATGCAATTACGAGTTTGTTACCGTACATGACTGTATTACTCAACACGTTCTACAGGCTCAAGGAGAAATATTTTTCTTCATTTTTAACAGTCCCTCCCTTCTTATGTCCTGCAACAACATCCTGTTTCAACCGGACATTCTTTGTGATTTTGCAAAATATGTCTTGCATTCCTCCTGTCCTGCAACATGCAGCCTGCTCCAGCAGATGGTGAAGAAACCTCATCAGTTACTGGACCTTGTTACCATTTCCACATTCCTATCCCCCCTCAGAGACTGTAAGTTCAGCTACATTCACCTAAGGCAAACTGCTGGGCCACAGCAGTGTATGTACCAGGGCTGTGTGTGCTAAACTTTGTCATAAATTAGAAATATCCTTTTTCAAATAAATCAGAAACATTACACCGCTACTAATTAAAGAAAAAAAATTAAAAAATCTATTGTTGCTGTAGTTGTTTGAAGTTTGAATGACAAGATAACTTTACCTTTTTGTGTACACTGAGAAGATCGAGCACCCCCTCCATCTTCAGTGGCTCATCTGAAAACTGGTGCCAGGTGGCCAACAGACACTTGAGATCCCCAGTCATTCCATAACCTAAATTGAAGTAAAAGGAGAAATGTGAGCAATATAAGCATTAAGAGAAAGGCCTTAAATAAATCTGCTTTAACCTTGATCAAGACTATTTCTTACCCAGTTTAAGGACATTTCTTTCTGAGAACAAACTCCTGATGAAACTAATGGTATCTGGGTGTTGACAGAATCCATTTGCACAAAGGTCCAATAAAAAAACCTGGTCATTGACTGCAAGCTGTATCAGGGCCACTTGCTGAGTCACGATGCAGCCAAATGTGGGCTGCCACTCCATGTCAATACCCACTATACCACCGTCCTTGGAAAGGATAAAGACAGGTTTGCAAGTCAGTGACAGAAATATATTTTTTAAAACAGATTAACCAAAAAATAATAAGAATAGTCTAATAACACAAAAACTTTTTTTTTTAATCTCTGTACCTTCAGCACAATGTTTCGACATCTCTGGAGAGCTTCTGCCGTGCCCACAAAGGAAACCTTGTCTTTGGTGAGTGGCACCTGGTAGAACCTTTGACAATGATGCTGAGATGATATCCACTCCTCAGTTTTTGCTGAATCACTCGGACATATCTGTCTGAGCAGAGGCGAGAAACTGCGTTATTGTGAGTGACAGAGACTGAAAAAATTGGAGTGGATAGATTGCTTCATTATAAAGAAGGAAAGAGATGTAAAGACTCGAATAAAAGCTGATAATATGGAATGACTCATCTGTCACACATCACATGGAATTGGATAGTGTCTCAATGAAATATGGGAAATGTGGCCACAAGACGTCGTCAAAGTAATTCGATAACATTTTAGAGCTTCAAATATTCCTCTTCATAAAAAAAGTACAGCTTGTCCATACCACAAGTTGTAATAGGATCATCTATTTTGGCCAACTTACTGTAGATCAGGTGGTAAGCACTGCTGTGTGTCCCACACCCCAAAGGGAAGTCGATTTCTGGGGACGTTGTAATTCAGAGACCACTGAGAGGCTTTCTGGAGACTGTGGTACTTTACCAACATCTCCACCAATTGTATCTGCAGCTCAAGGTCATCTGCCACTACACTCTACATACAAATGATACACACATGAACTAATGTTAAACTGATGTATATTTAAAGTGCAGATTATCCACACATCGTCGTGCCAAGACTAAGCTATAAACACAACTCACCTGTACGTGGTCACTCCAGTTCTCCTCGGTCATGCTTTTCTGAAAGAAGAATATAATGAAATATAGATGATTGAAAATGACAGAAAGGGATGTGGGCTTGATGGGAAGGTATCTACTCTGTAGCATATCTGTGTATATATTACACTCATTCATTAAAGTCTCTGCTTGTCTTTCACCTAAATTCTGTAATAACTAAGAAACGATCCCCAGTGAATCAAAGGCTGTTATTAATTCAAAGGTCTGATTAGTAGTTTGAAGACAGATCTTTCAGCGATAATTGGCAGTTATGTGTTAATTTGCATTTTCAACAGAAGGAAACAACACTGCAAACATTCTCAGCATGGTCTCAGTATGACCAAGAATTAAGTGAAGAAAGCTGATGAAACTTTAATAATTTACTCCATATAGGTGTTGCAAATGGTCTTAATCACTAAATATTAAAAATAATACAGTCAACAATGAAAATAAGTGTCATACAGACAGTGGGAAAAGTGTGAACCAAACAAAAAAGGATATTTACTTGTACTGTTGAGGATATACTTTCTATCAAACTATCACCACTATTACATCCAGTTCGTACTAGCCTACTTATGTACCTGGTGTATGTTATGATGGTAAATGAGACTTGAAAGCGTGCTGCATCACTTACCTCCACAAACCTCTTGTACATTAGGAAACGTAAAGAGTCCAGTCTCCTCTTGTGAAGAGCATTGGGATATAGACCTGTATCAAAAACACAGATCATAATCTTTTCTTCTATACGCACTCAAACACACAGTTCATGTAAAACTGCACACATGCCTCATCACACACCTTGGTCGATGTGGAATTTCTCTGCAAGTCTTAAGATGTGTTTGGTGAGCATTTTGGGTGCGATGAGGCCCATGCTGTGTTTGGACAGGGAGAGACGAGGGAACTGCCTGTGAAAACACACAGTCACGTTTAGATTTATACATTTGCACACTGATGCCTACATGTACGACATAGGTAGATCATACATTCACGCATGTTCCATACTTGCTTAACTCTTCTACACGGAAGCTGGGGTGGCACCAGGAGTCCAGCAGTGTGACAAGTAGTTGTTCCAGATGATTGTGGCCCGTGACAAAGGACTCTGCCAGTGGCAGCTTATCCTGCAAGATTAACGGTATGCACATCTGCAGAGGAACATTTTAAATAAACTTGGTTAAAGACTTGAAACAGGATACATTCAGATACAGCGAATCTAAAGTTTGCTCATGTACTCAACACAAATGTAACTTGGACCAATGTGCTGCAAAGATTAGTTTCACCTGCTCCATATTCACTTCCTTCTGCAAATTAAGCTTTATGCAGAGAACAGCTGCCTGTAAAAAAAACAAGAGAGAGAAATTCAGTACAACTTAAAAAAATGAACCTTTAGTGTCAGCATTAATTTGACTTCTTAGAGTTTTGCCTGAAATCTTTCTGCCATAAAAAATGGTCAATATCACGCCACCTCTTTGTAGCAGTTAAGAGCCTGAAGCTTCACAAAGTGCAGTCTGAGCACGGCTGGGTCCAGGGAGCCAAGGTGGTAGATGTTTATGAGGCTCTCAACAAAGCTGACCTGGGTGTCCGCAGGTAAACGCAGAACACGATGCTGGAGCTCCAGTGCTTGATGCTCTGAGAGTGAACTCAGGGTGACCTGGTGGCAAAACAAAACAAATAAACAGTGCATGTTGTATACAAAAAAGCATGTTCTTAATTCAAATTCTATATATTTGGTTGTTTTTGTGTTTT